TGATTACCATTAACTGATCCTGCCAGGAGAAGTGGAAGTACTGATACCTGTAAGGTTTGACCACCTTCTTGCTCTTTTGTACTTCATTTTGCTGGCCTTACAAATGCTCTTTTACTGCTTAACTCTTCCTTTACCCATGATGGTTTTTTTTCTGTTGTTCTTAAGGTACAATTTTAATTGAACTAGAAATTCAGTCTCCTTAGAGCAAATAAAATATTTAACTTTCATTAGTCAGAGGTGATTATCATAATCTTCCTGTGAGCTTTTATGGTGCATGACATAGATTTGTACGACTTTCGAAAGAAACTTCTGCACAGCAGAGTAGTCATTGCTACTGAGTCACGACGACTTCCCACTGTATCAACGCAAACCTTAGATCTTTATATTCTTGGGGCATTTAAGTAGGTATCACAAATTATGTTCTCCTATTTGTTCTTTCAGTTCTCCTCACTCCACCCTTGAAAACTTAGTGATGGAGTGGTCATCTGCCTCATTATAACACTTACTTTGTAATACTTATTTTGTATTTGGACTCTTCTTCCAAATTATTTATCTACTGTCATGTCCTTAAAGCTAGGTGTGGTAAAAATCACTGAACTTAATGAGAAGTTTGCCTGCAAAAATCATGCAGGAGAAGAACCACACAACATTTACTTATTAGGTAAAGAGCTTGTGCAGAATTTGATCAATTTATAATTCTGTGTATGTGTGCTTGTGTGCTATTTTTACATGTATGTATATATGTGTATGTGCATATGTATATACATATGTGTGTATATATATGTGATTAGGTCATATGAAATTACCTCTGCCTAGTGGTGTTTTTTCAAATAAGCCTTCATCCCTGGCACTGCTGTCTAGAGCCAGGAGATTTCAGTTCTATTCTGTATATTGTGCTAAGGTTGTAACATGGTCTTAGAAAGTTATAAAGCTTCCTCTACCCTCAGTTTCTGTATCCATCTGGGAATAAATATAATTGTCTTTCTGAAGTGCTTTTAGACCTTGGATGGAAGATTTTTCTCAAAGTGCATCATATTATTATTTTATATCACGATGCTGTTAGCTGGGCATCTTGTTATCATTGTGCCAGACTAAGGGCTGTATTTTTCCATTCTTAGTTGCAGAGATTTTTTTTGTCATTTTCAATTCCAATTGCACATGCCATGGTGAAAGAGCTGTGGTTCTTCAAGATGAAAAATGGCCACTCTGATGAAGCCAGGCATGAAAGGATAGCGTTTGGTAGAAGTTCAGAGCTAAAGCAACGTAGATTTTAAAATTGCCGTTGTCTGTAAACACTGCTTTGCAACAATTTTTAATATGTGAGATGATGCACACTGAAGATCATGAATCGATCAAATTATAGGGACAAGGGTAAGATGACAGGATAAACCAGATAATGGTGGTAGTGCCTACTAGCACTACATATCTTCCGTCTGACAGCATTTTCTATCATAAATCCATATGTTTTATAACTAGGCCATAAAAGCTTACTTCAGGCTGAAATGTAACAGGATGTACTGTAGTTCAAAAATTGTGCCCTTAAAAATACTTCAGTAGTTTCTACATTAAACTTGCAATATTTAAAAATTACACTTCTCTTGCACTCTGGTAACTTGAGATTTTTGAACTGGTGGACTTCTTTCGCAGAAGAAAGTTATTTGTATGTAAATCTGTGTGTTCAACCTCTGCTTAAAACTTGCTGTCCTTCTGGATTCATCACATTAATTTTCCAGTGGATTTTATATATGCAGGTGTCTCACCCTCAGAAAATACTCCTTCACACATTTTCCAATTAGACTGGGGAACGTGCTGAAACTTCATAGGAAAATGATGAGACTAAAGTGAGTTTGGGCTTTGATATGTTGTTTAAAAGACTAACTATGTAAAAGAGTAACAAGAACACAGTTATTAAATTAACCCTTTACAATCCAAAGTTCTATGCACTGCTAAATATTAGGATCAGTTTATTCATCAATGACCTGGGTGAAGGCACAGAGTGCTCCCTCAGCAAGTTTGCTGATGATACCAAACTGGGAGGAGTAGCCAATACCCCGGAGGGCTGCGCTGCCATCCAGAGGGACCTGGACAGACTGGACAACTGGGCGGTGAAAAACCTCATGCAATTCAACAAGGTCAAGTGCAAGGTCCTGCACATGGGGAGGAATAACCCCAGACACCAGTACAGGCTGGGGACTGACCTTCTGGAGAGCAGCTCTGCAGAGAGGGACCTGGGTGTCATGGTGGACAACAAGTTGACCATGAGGCAGCAGTGTGCTCTAGTGGCCAAGAAGGCCAATGGGATCCTGGGCTGCATTAAGAAGAGCGTCTCCAGCAGATCGAGGGAGGTGATCCTGCCCCTCTACTCAGCCCTGGTGAGGCCGCATCTGGAGTATTGTGTGCAGTTCTGGGCTCCACAGTACAAGAGGGATGTGGAGCTTCTGGAGAGAGTCCAGCGCAGGGCCACAAGGATGATCAGGGGCCTGGAACATCTGCCCTATGAGGAGAGGCTGAGGGAGCTGGGCCTGTTCAGCCTGGAGAAGAGAAGGTTGAGAGGGGATCTAATGAATATATACAAATACCTCAAGGGAGGCAGTGAGGAGGCTGGTGCTGGCGTCTTTTCAGTGGTGGCCACCGACAGAACTAGAGGAAACGGCCAGAAACTGAAGCATCAAAAGTTCCACAGGAACTTAAGGAAAAATTTCTTAACAGTGAGGGTGACAGAGCACTGGAACAAGGTGCCCAGAGAGATTGTGGAGTTTCCTTCTCTGGAGATCTTCAAAACCCGCTTGGACGCAGTCCTGTGCCACGTGCTCTAGGTGTCCCTGCGTATGCAGGGGGGTTGGACTAGATGATCCCTAGAGGTCCCTTCCAACCTTAAGCATTCTATGATTCTGTGATCTGTAATCAGTTTCTCTCTTGTCTTCAGATTCTTAATGTTTTGTCTGGGCTTATTTTATACTGATCTGTCTTGTGGACAGGAAACATGTGCCTGTGGATCATGATGCAGTGTGGTAAGATACATACTAAGAATTGGTCTAGTTTTAACAATATCTTAATTTCAATGCTTTGCATACACATCTTGGAGCTATAGATTAATAGAAAAACTAAGTGTTCTACATTTTATCGTGATAAAATCTTTTTATTTTTATACCGCTATTAATGAAAGGATTATAGCAGCAGAGAAGCCACTGTGATCTGTATGAAGTCTTGCAGTCTTCTTAGAGTTGATCTATTAATAAGTCTTACATCAATTTGAGTACATCAATCAGTTGATCAATTTGAGCAACCTATGCTAGATATGTGCTCCAATACCCACTGTAAAAGGGACAAATTACTATTATCTCAAAGCTATTCTGTTCTTTCTACAGTTCTGTGGAATCAGATGCTGGGAATGAAACACAATCACTGAAAGAGTTAAACATTAGTTGATGCGGCTGCTCCTAAGGAGGAGTTTGCTGCATTTTATCCCTAGAGAATTGGGCATCTTTAGGGTATTAAGTTTTGGCAAAGAGGAAGATACCGGATTTAAATGATACCAAGTTTGATCCTAGTTCCATCTATTGCACCTGAGGTTGACCTTCTTGGATTCAGATATTTTAAAGTAATACCTTTGTTCTAGGTTTAGGATTTGCCAAATGAGAGCGTTTCATCACCTAAAGGACAAGCCTCCATGACTAGCTATTCCTAGTGATTACTGTGAAGAAATTGTAATTGTAATTGACTTGAATTGTAATATTTGTGAGGCAAAGGAAAAAATACCTTATCTGAAATCCTCTTTATTCACAAGCCAAATATAACCCAGTAAGACACACTGTGAGGTTCCATATACAGAACTAGCACTGTTCACCCAATAGTTTGCAAGAACTAGACATGCTCGAGTCCTTCGCAAAGAAACTACCACATGTGCTAACTTTGTTGTTTTTAGGGAGACGATCTTTTACTCACAGAACTTGCTTTGCCTTCTAACTTCAATGCAGTCTGGGATCGACGACGATCTTGGAGAAGTGGAAGGCAGTGATTTTCAAGGTGTCATGCTCTAATGTATGTGGATCCTGTTTTGAGCTGGTTTGGTCAGTATTAGAGTACCTGGTAGTATGTAATTTCTTGATTTCAGAAACTTGGTCATGTCACTGCAAGCCATGGTTGTCTGGTTTGTAGTTTGTTGCTTCAGGAAGACAGTTGATAATTCAGTCTTTTGCTGGACTAAGGGAAGCAAAACTGAACACAGTCTTCTCTGATCCCACTTGGTCTCCTTCATTGTAAAAGTGTGGCTGTATACAGTGATTTTTCAGATTATTTTTGCCCTCCTTTCCTCCACCTCCAATTAACAAACAGCAGTTTGATAGCATGGCAGCAAGTGCATGTTCATATCAAAAAGAATTTTCTCTACCATCGTCATATTAAAATGAAGTGTCAGCCTGTAGAGTTAATTAGCTAGATTTGCACATAGGGCCATTCTTGATGTTAAAGGCTTCAGGCTGGAAGGGAGTCCCAATATTTTACATTTCCAAATCAAATATTAATTGCATGCTGTAGAGAATCCTCTCTTTTCCCCAAACAAAATTTATAAATAAAAAGCTAGGCCTTTCAAACCATCAGCAGTATTAATTCTGGATTTGAAGGATTATGAAAGATAAACAACCACATAATTGTGAATTAGAAAAATACTGGCCTAGGTTGCATAAAAACCTCCATTAAATAAGTACTGTAAGTTTTCACTATGAAAATTCAGTGGCATTGTACTTTAAAAAACCATAATGAAATAACCATCTGATAATGATACTCAAGTTGCTTTTCACAAATCACATATACATACAGGAAGTCAGATAGCCAGAAAAGGCTATATACTGGTTTAATGTACAGTTTGACACAAAGTACTCCTGATATACTCCATCCTAACTTCCTGAGCGTGGTCACAGTTCTCATCGGCAAACCCTGCTACTCTTCTCATCTAGGTTGCCCTACTGTCCCAGAATGTCCAACACTCCGAAAGCTGATGCAGTCTTTGGTGTTGATCCCTCAGACCACCGGTTTAACCTCAGAGTGATTCACAGTAAGTGGTTCTGGTTTCCAGTCTGGTTGGAAAAAGTGAATATTGAATGTCCGTGCCCAGTTCTCAAAGACTCGTTTCTCTGTGATGAAGCGATGATGGCTGCCCTTGCGGCCCCGCTCGTGGGAAAGGTACATTGTGCACTCGTCAGGTCCCAGAGGTTCGTAGTAATGATAAGGTACTGAAAGATGATTAGGATCCCTGTGGAAGAAAGAAAATAGAAGAAAAAAGCTCCAGATGTTCCTTTTTACTGATTGAAAAGATGCTATCTTTAATAAGCTGAGCTTTTATTCCTAGGTAAACCAAATTTCTAGATACCTGTATTTTTATTGCATACTTAATGCATCAGAATGGAGCAAAAGTTTTTAATTCGCTCCTGTTGTTTTATTTTAATCACTTCCTCCCTGTTAAATAAAGAACAGCAGTAGCTCAATAAGGGAGAATGCTACAGGGCTGCTATTATCCTGAAACTTGAAACACACTAACTTAAAAGAAATTCATATCCACATTTTGACCTGTAAAAAGCCTTGCAGTGGCATTTACTGAACTGAGGGAAGAAAGGAAAGGGAAAGACGGAGGGGAGAAGGTTATCTGGGTCACATCAGCTCTGGTGAACGTTACCAGCACAGTGCTTAGGGATGTGAGAGCACATTAGCGCATCTGCATGTCTGAGTGGTCATACAGCCTGCTATTGAAAGCTTTATAATCAAACAGATCTAATGCGCATGTAAGTTCTTTTGCTTTTTAATGGGAACTTTCATATTTCTAAGGCAAAAATTCAAGCTGTTCACCCATAGTGTCCTTTTGACCTTCTAAGCCCATCAGCATTAACCTACAGGAGATGCCATACCTGTGTGATGACACATAGGACAATCCTAAAAGCAATTAGGTACCTAGGACAAAGATCATTTTAACAGTTTTAATCTCAATATTCTGTTCTTACATGCTTCAAAGGGTGCATTTGCATTATGCTTGTAACATAGAGTGGATAATTCTCCTTTTGCCTTATTTATTCTCTGTACTAAACTGTACCCTCTGTGTTTTTAATTTGGGCACAAGTACTTTGGACAGACAAGAACTCTTACACAAAATAACTATTTCTACAAAATATTGAAAGAAATATAACTGTCCAGACAGAATAACCCAATTGTAATGCTGTAATGCTGACATTTTCCAAGCCACAGCAGAGTTAGTGTAAAACTTGTATGCCAGATATCCACAGTTACTACCAAGGAACTATTTTGGGGTGTAAAAGAGGATAACCAAAAGCTAATCAAATACTTCCACTTGGAATTATTCTGTGTTAAAATCTGAGCTGAATAGGACTCCAATACAGAGCAAGAAAGTTAACATAGAGTCAGCTCTTATACTGAGTTTATTATTTCCATTTTGAAGAGCTAATATTTAAGATTATTTTCAATTCAATGCATCTTCCAACTGTCAGTAGTCTGTCCTGAGCATTGTTTTTATTATATAATTTTGTCACCTATACAATTCTCTTTTTTTTTCTTATTTTTACCAATATCCATATTATATTTGCAGTGGTAATGTATGATCCTGCTGCTGCTTTCCATTTGTACCCAAGATTAACATTTTAATTCAATCAATTTAGCTTCCTGATAACTTCACAGTGTGATCAATCTTACAACACTAGTGTAACAATAAAATTGCATCTCTAAAATAAGATGGATCCCAAATTTGCAGCATATATTCTTACGGGGATATATCAGAGAATGAAAAGAAATCCTTTAATACCTTATCCATACAAAGTGTATTTTTTAATTTAAAAAATATCCTTTCATATGTGCATTTAATAGATTTGGGGTTTTTTAGCTACCACCAAGTGCAAAATGTTAGATCTCAAATCTTCAATTAAATTTTCACACACCTTTTGATATATTGGACCTCTTATTATTATCTTATAAATGAATTCTTTGCATGGTTATTATAAATGTAACAGGATACATTTTAATGTGGCTTGTTTTTTCTTAAAACCTACTAAACAAATAGGCATCTGTCTTTTATTTAACTTACTCATCCTTTCTATAAGGAGGATGGATGTGTTCACAAGCGTAAATCTGTGTAGCTCAGTGGAAATTCACTGCTTTAAAATAAAGATTAGTAAGGTTGAAATCATATCTCCAAAAGACTTTGATTAAATGCAGTCACAGTGGAAATGAGTTACCTGCTCACAGCCCAGTATTGCAAAGTGAGCTTATAAAGTTGCTGGCCTGGATAACGTCCTGGTAGATTTAGTAAGTTTTCCTTTCTTTTTTTTTCCCCTCTTTTTCTCTCTTTTTTTTTTCTTCTGTAAAATAGTAGTTGAAAACTGTGACTATAGACAGCACAGCAAACCTGAGCCAGGTTTGCAGAACTAACCTCTGCTGGGTTTGCAGAACATGCCCAAGAAGAGCACAGAGCTGCACGTGGATGTCCCTTTCCTGTTCCTTTGCCGTACACTGGAATTAGGTGTGGATCACGGCGATTACTTTCACCAGAATCAGATTTCCCTCCAAGGATCTAGAGGAACCCTGGTCATATTTTTCCATGCAAAATCCAAAAGATACAGGTACAGGGGTGGTGGTCTCTGTGTGCGTGTCAGGAGGAGGGAAGGAGAAAAGGCTTGATAGTGGTCCTTTTTTCTTCTTCCTTCTCTCCCATAATTTAGTGTTTAGCAAGGGTTATACTCTTCCTGTTGCTTTTTTGATGCGTGATTTTGAAGTTTGTACCTCCTAGTTGGGGCTTTAGCTGTCATGCTATTAATAATCTAAAATGGATTTTTAGCAATGGATCCTCTTGAAGACAATAACTCCAAATTCCATTAAAAGTGCTGAAGCTAAAAGCAGAGTATCCCAAGTGGATGCCCTTAGCTCAAGGGTATAGCAGGTCACTGTTTTTTTTGTGCATTGCCCTGGCAGAAATATTGCAGAAATATCTACTGCATTGGAGGTAGCTGTCAAGAGAAGCAGCAGAGCACAGCCCAGGCACCCTGTTGGGTTCAGAACTCTAAAGGGCAGTTAGGTATCAAGAAAGAATCGTCTGCAGCCTTCCTCTTTCATAGAAATTCTGGATTTGCCCGGATTTTGTGCAAGTAAGGTTTAGATTTGAACTTGGCTTGAGTAACTACACCATAACCCAATTTAACTGTCCTGTGTTATCTTCTCACTCTGCAATTAGCTTGTGTCACTAGCAAATGAAATGCATGAGTAATTTCTATAAGGAAATTGCTTGCCACCTCATTTATTAACATTAAAACAGATGCTGTTTTATCACTGACTGATACTGGACATTAATCAGTATTTTGTCAGACTTTGCATGCATATTAATAATCACAGCTGGGAGGAAGCTGGGGAAGGTCCTTTGTAAAACATACTCCACTTCCTGCCTAACAGCCTGCCAGCGCAGCAACAGCCTAAGTGCTTGTACCCAGTGTCAATCAGCTGCTCTTTGCCACTTCGGTGCACATTTTCCCACAGATGGGATCCACCCACGCTGAAAGCTGGAAGTGCAGGAAGCAGTGTTTGCCGCAAAAGAAACAAAGCAGAAAAATAAGGCCATCCCATAGCGCGTTCTGGTCAACCTCTTCCTTTACAAACTAAAAGCAATCATAAATCAGCCCATAAAACTCTCTGCATTCACTTGCTTTGTAAAAGAATTTGCATTTTGAAGGGTGACTAAAATGTCATTTTCATGGTGAGTGATGGGCAGGGCACTACAGCAGGACTATAAAGATGGCTGGATATTTTTTTGCCTTCTATTCCTGGTATCCCATTTCCTCAACCTTCTTTCAAGCCCAGTTTTGCTGAACTCTATACTCTGGCTCCACAAACCAGATAATGCAGTAGCTGCTAGTTAATGAGGTGAGATGTGGGGTAAAGATTAAAGGCCAGGACTATCTGTTGTATGGCTGGAGTTTAAAAATCTTGCAAACACCTCCCATAAAGCCCAGCAGATGTGACTAGCAGCAACTGCTTTTTTTGCCTTTGATTTAAAGGAATTGAAAGCAAGGAAAGAGAGGTAAGAAAACACTAGATTTAAAAGCTGTGCCCAGAGGAATAAATTAAAGGATTTCAAAAGCCAATTTTCAGGCAAATTATCACAGATGGGAAATGGCCTAACAGACAAATGACTCTCCATAGGAAAATGATCCAGCTCCTTATTCATATCTATTAAAATAAGGCTCTGAATAAGCTTTAGACTTCTGTGAGCTCCAGAAGGCCCATGAAGACAAGGGGAGGACGAGGGTTCTTGTCACTACCACCTCGAGTCTTCCTCGCGTGGGTGGGAATACCTAAGGAGGTGTTCAGATAGACAGGGGCTGGTGTCATCACAGACTGCATTAAGGCAGGCCTGTGTCCTTTCCAGGGGGCTGCTGAGCAGCCACACAGACAAGTGGCAGCACTATAACTTATTTTGGGAATTGTAGTGTTGTCTGTGAAGGATGTTGGGGGTGAAAAAAGAAAAATCCTTGAGGGCTCAGGTCGGGTGGCTTGTGAATGGTGCTAATGCAGCCTCGAGAGGGAAACGTTGCCCATCTGGGGCACTGGCTGAAGGAGCAGGGGTCAGGCATGGGTCCCTGCACCCTGAAAATAATACAGCAAGATGATTTTACTTCCTTGAGTTTCTTCTGACCGAAGAGTGAGGTGCACGCTCTCTCTCCAGAGCTCTTTGCAATGTGCATGCTGCTATAGGCTTTCATCTTATTTCTAGACTGTGCAAATCAGATGTATTTAACAGCACGAGAGTTGTATCATAGACATTAACCCTTAATACAGTCCAGCGTTAAGTCTGTAGCCAAGTAAAGAGATTCAATATTGCAGAGCGCTTTGCTGCAGCATACTCAGAAATTCACAATAATCAGGTCACCAATTCCAGTTCAACTATAAAATCAATACCCAGTGAAAGTAAATAGAAATGAATCTAAACCACATTGTTGCAATTAATAGCAACAAATCTTTTTAATCTGTAATGTTCACTCCCCTTTAGCCAGGCTGTTTTTCCTGCCTGAGTAGGAAGCAATTTGTTTAATGATCTTAAGCTAATAATTTGTAGCAGAATCAACAGTATGATATTCATGATACCTTTGAGATGTCCTTCATGTTACCAATGTGATACTAATTTAGTTCCATAGCAGTGTTTTCCCCCCACACTCATTACTTACTCCACAAATTTATAATTAAAAAATAATGGGTAGCTGCTAAAGTTGTAAATTTAGTGACATTCAACCTGAATAGAAACAAGAATATAAGATATTTTTTAAAAATCTTAGTTGCTTGAATTACACAGCAAATAAAATACACTTGTATCTATATCATCTCTAACACAGTTAGAGAGGGGTTAGTCTTTTTTTTTTTAATGGTGAATTTGCATGGAGATCTGTCTTAAAGTAGAGCCATTTACAAAGTATTTCTTATGCTGTGTTTTTTTTTTGTCTACCTTCTGTGAAAGTAAGCACTCCTATTGGACTTCTAAGAAAGTGGGTAATGAACAAACTGAGAGGGTTAATTTCCATTTATGGCAACATATTCCTTTTACAGATCTTCATTTTTGACTTTCTCCAGGCTTGGCCACTACAGCTTTTCTCTTTGTTGCCTGAGGAATAAAACTAACCGAAAGACCTTTGATTTTAAGAAACATCTTTTCCCCTTTTTTTTGACCAGGTAAGTGAACTTTTTGTTATGATTATGTTGTTATGATTATGTTATACTAGATATAAACATTAGCTGTATAGGATAGCTAATTCTATAGCAATCCTACTAGTATAGTAGGATTGATTTTTTTTTTGTAAGAATTTAATATTTTATCTGTTTAATTACAGTGTATTAATTCTACTAAAACCTCTCATATAATCACAGTGACAATTTTAGCTTCTTAAACTTTTTTTTTTTAATAAGCACACTTACTTGCGTCAATCTGACTTTAACAATTAGGAGCCCTTGTTTGGAAAGTAAGGACTGTGCAATGTTTTATACTGACATGTAATGTTTAGTTCAGTGGTGTAAGAATTACTTTCATGTGCCACTGGAATACAATCTCTTCTGGAGTAAGGCAGGGCAGTCACTGTAGTGATGCCGAGGGGACAGCAATTCCAGCAGGGGAACTGGAGACGAGTGTCTTGGCCAACTGGAACAACAGGGCAACAGAAGTGCTGTGCTGCAGAAGGTATTTATGTTGTTTGGACTCTCTGATCTAGTTTTGTTATTTTCCTAGGAGGATTCCTGTTGAAAGCTGGCAGTACATTACCACATTTGTCATCAGTGTTTTCCTTTAATGTGCACAAAGTGGAATTTCTCACAAAGTGGAATTTAGGGTTGACATTTAATATTGTAATTTCTTCAGAGATTTCTACTTCTTTTTGCCTAGGACAAATGCAGGTGTTTGACTCATGCTCACTGGTAGAAGAAAGAAAAGAAGAAAATAAAACAGTCCTATTATGATAGAGGAACTAACCTGATACTGCAGCCTGCCATCCCTTACCCCTGAAAGGCATCTCACTAATGAACTATACTTTGGTGAGTTAGTAAATTTGCAAAAGAGATTTCAGGAAAGTAAGTATCTCCTAGAAAGAGGGGGTTAAGAGCAGGCAATAAAACATTACAGCCAAGACCATTGCTCCATGACTGTCAATACCAGCTCTGGGCATAGCTGGATCACCTAAGTGGGATCAGGCACAAGTGGAATCAAGGTATGGGCACATGGCAACATCTCTCTGGAAGGCCAGACAGCTTGGCCTTCCTGTGATGGTAGGACAGATGATACTTGACAACACAGGACTGCCGATGCAAAAAAATTTACATGAATTTTAGACCAGATAGGTGCTTGGCATCATGTAGTTAATGATTTCATGATTTTGGTCCAGTACCAGGAGTCTGGAAAACTAGTTTCCTATCACTGTTTCATAGTGAATTGTTACCCAGCACCCCAGTCTCAAGTCCTGAATCTGGCCTGAAGCATAATGTAGCTGTAAAATCTGTAAAAAATGTTATAGCATGAACTGCTCACGTAGCCTCCGCTGACAGAACGTGTGTGCTGTTTGCATTGCTTTTGACTTGCATTTTGCATAACCAAAATGGGTGATTACAGGTCTGCCTATTCTACTACTCTATCTACCTATACTACTTTAGTGGGGATTATGCAGGAAGCCACTTTATTGAAAGACTGGGATTTATGTGACACAGATACGACAATCTTCACTTTGTTTACATAAAAATATTTAAGTTAGAAACTAGTCACTATGAGAACTCCACTACTCCATTAAGAGGCAGGGAGAGTCTTTAAAAAAATTAAAAGTAATATTTTTCAGTACTCCTTTTTCACATTAATTTCATGCCAATTATTGCATTATTTCTAGGTGATAAATATTCAGAAGCTAAAAGACACCAGGATGGATTAATTCTTGCACACTACAAACAAAAACTTTTATATAACATAATTAAATGGTGTTTTTCAGAATCAGATTTGGGGCATGTTAATTAATTGGCTTAAGGGGACTGAAGACATATATCACAGAAAAAAATTAAAGATTCAGATATTTATCTGTAACATCCAACCTTGTTGGCTAATAATGGTTCTGAAATGAATCCTACCTGCAGAAATCCGGTGGCACCATGCCATAAACATTTATCCTGTCACAGAGCTCTAATGCGATAGTCATTGTGAACCAGCCCGTGCTAAGCCAAGTGTTGGATATCTTCCTGAAAGCAGAAACATAATTAAGTTTCTAGGCTGACAAATAATTCTTGAGATATCCGAAGCAATTTCTAGGCAGTTTTTTCATTCTTATGAAAGGTTACAAAAATTGGGCAACCATGACTACTTTGACTCATTCATCTTTTAATGACTTTACTCATGTCTTCTGTCAGTGGGCTAATCTATGCAGAAACCACCTTTGCTGCAATTAATTTTGGGTGCAGCAATGTTAATATTTAGCTGACCTTTTGATAAGTTTACCTTAAGTGACTGAAACTTCATGTCCTATATTTATATTCTTCTGCTAGTAATGTACTGGGAAAATATCACACATCCAGAATCACTTAATGGAACTTGCACGCTAACTGACCCAGTGCAGGGGATGAAGAGGGCTGTTTCAATGCTACCTCCACAACATATAGAGGAAGTCGTCTTCTGGAACTGGACCTGCCCTCAAATGTAGTCACATCCTCTGCTCCCAGAGTTTGGTTTCTGGATGTTCCCAGGCAAATCAGCCCTCCGTGTGCCCACACCACCGTGATGGCTGGCAGGAAAATCCTGTGGTAGCTGCAGCTGCGCCCGTCTCAAAGCCAACCTGGAAAACCTTCCTCCCACTCCTGCCCCAGGAGCCCTGACTGGGAGGTGGAAGTGTGTGGGTCAACACTAGGAGTCTTCTAAGGCATTTTCTTTCCTGGCCTCTTCGTCAGGCTAGGACTCATTGGTAAAAGAAGCACAACTGATCTCAGCCCTGTTTAAACAAAAGTCGGGAGGTGTTTTTAGGTAAGTAACTGCTCACAATTATGAGATCTACAATCTAGGCTTTTGCTATCTCACGGGTCCTTACCTGCAAATTGGGAACAGTGCACTTCTTGTGCTTGTCATTGCTGTTTAGTGTATAAGACTTCAGAATTATCATGGTCACTCATTGCCTGGCAGATGCACTGAGATCCTCAGTCCTGTGTTAAGTTCCTACCCGCCTTGTCTACCTTCTGCACTGGAGCCTTCACTGGGGGAATCCAGGGTGCTGGCCCCAGTGCCCAGTCCTGCTTTTGTAATTTATCTTGTCATAGCTGACTACAAAACAATCCCAGAAGGGGCCTGAACCCAGACACCCACTGCAAGCACCATCCCCATGAGTAGTGTAGGGGAGCAAGTACAGTCATGCCATGCAGATTCCTGAGGTAGCGCTAAAAAACTTGGTTTGGAAATGGTGCCCTCCTGCACAGCAGGAGGAAGGTGTTTTAAACACACTCAGCCTGAGAAGTGGCTGATACCAAGGTCTCCCTTTTGCTCAGAGAAATAGCTCTTGTCAACACAAGCGAATTGTTTAATCCAAGAGGCTTAAGGGATGCCGAGGAGCAGGAGAACTAAACTAGCATTTTGAGAATAACATGCTGTGATTTAAGCATCTAATTAGCCCAAATCATGGGGCTTTGCCTCTTTTCTGAATTTGTAACTAAGCTGTTTTTTTGGACCAATTCGTCACAGTGTGGTAGCAGACTCATAAGCTCAGCACAGGCCTTCAGGCACTACAGCAGTACAAAACAGTATATGATTTCTGGCTCAAAATTACTATGAACAGGAAAGGAAGGGAAAGCTTAAAAATTTGCTTTCCTGCCACTTGAGAATTTATAAGCTTATGAATCACTAGGCAATTTAGATACTTAGTCAGGCCAGCATATCTGGGAGCCTGTACAAGGCCACTGTTTCAGGCAACTAAGACTTTATTTTCCAAAACAGAGGGAGCAATTATATTCTGACCATGATCTAAGTGGCTAGCCCTTGTCCAGGTCAGAAAAACTAGTTAGGCTGTAGCCTGGATTAGCTGTTGTATCAATTGCACAGTTATTTTGTCCTTTGCTGTTTTCAATAAACAGGAAAATAACTGATTTGAACTAAACTATCTTAAAAAGCAGTTTAATAAAGACTTAGAAACTTATGCAAGTACCAGTCTAGAGCCTCTTCAATTACCACCTTTCTAGGACAGCAGTGCAGGACCATGGTTACAGTGTCTTGCCTTTTCCTGAAAACAAGCTTCCAACAAAAGGATACTGTTTTTATACCTAATCAGCTGTAATGAAAGAATATGAAGAACTGTCATGTGCTTATTAGGGGGAATTATCAGATATTCTTTTATATGGTGAACTAGCACACTGTGCTGATAATTCTGTAGTGCACACTAAATTACAATTAAAGGCCTTTCTGCTCCACCAAAATCTCATTTATAATCTCTATGGAAATACTCTTCCTGCAGTTATTTCATTTATGCTTCCTTTATCTAATTACTGTAATATTGGTTTTGAATCATACTTTCTTAATGTACCCTTATTCAATTATAAAGTTATTTTCAAGTACAGTTACTTTATAATACCAAGTATATTGCTTGGCAGCCTTTGTCAGTCACTATACTGTTTAAGTGGTGATGTTTTCTGAATGTTTCCCTTCATCTTAAAATCTGCTGTTTTTTCTTAAAACCCAATTACATTTTTCTCATGATTTTCAAAACAGAAATGAATGGTTTGATTATGGCAACCTTGCAATCAGACTTCCTTGTTGCTCCTTTGTTTTTTGTAGGCACTGAGGGTGAGAGCTTGGCTGAAATCTCCCAGGGAAGGGTGAGCACTCTGGGACGTGACATACAGTGTTCTGCTCCTGCTCCCACAGCTATAAGTAAGTTGTGTTTCCTTACAAAGTCCTTTTCATCTTCTCACTCTTTCTCCATGCTGCCTAATCATTTATTTTCATCTCTTGTTTTAATCATCTTCTTAATCCTTCAGGTATGCTGTATGTGCCCTCTAAAGGAGCAGAGCCTGCAATTTCCTAAATGCAACAGGACCTGTTTGTGAGCCCGAATTTTGCTAGCATCTAAGCACCCTTGACTCACACTGGGAGTTTAGGGTACCCATGACTGAGCCCGAGATAGGCTGTGACAACTCCATTAAAGTCTCAAACTCCTGGAGACTGGGATCTGTGCAGAGAGAGAAACGCTGTCCTTGGAAAAGGAAGACCCAGCTGTAGGTCTGCTCTGCATACTTGCCTCTCAATACCGGGCATATAGATAATTCCTTACCCTGCTTTCACAGGTTTTAATAGCCTCTCTTGCTCCACTCCAGATGAACAAACCGGGAAAAGGCAGCAGGACAGCTGAACTGGCAGGGTTAGCCTTCCTCCTAGTTCCAGCAAAGGAAGAGCTTAACAGGCATAAATTTCCAGATGAAGAGGAAAGGGCCTTTAATGGTAAGACTTGAATAGTCACTGTGCACTCCAGTGTACAGTACAAAGACACAAATGCAAAGCAAAGATACTGTTCCCATTGGGCATAGAATGCAACAGCTCACTATGTCACTGGCTCTGCCTTTTCCATGCTGCCCAGAAGACAAAGTCTGTGCTCTTGAGCACTCCCCATCCACAGAGGATCCAGCCCAGCTGCTAGACTCTGATGTGCATGTGTAGTATTTGTGAAGACACAAAATTTCACTGTGAGTTACTGCACAATAAACATACCTCTTCATCTGAACCTAAGTGGGGACCCTGTTCTGTTTTTTACAGCTGAATATTTAGTATGTAAAAAAAAAATGAGTTCATTAAAAATAAATGTATTTCCCTCTAGGAAGTCTTTGGCTTAAATGCCAATTTTCAAACATTAGATGTGAAAATGCTCAAGTCCTGCAGTGGGTCACTTATTAAAAATTTGATTTGAAGATCAGCCTGCAAGTCATAAACAGTCTCATAAAGATGTAACTATCACAATAACTTTCCTTTTCCCAGTTGGAGATGTAAGATGAACTGTTCAGAAGCACCTAATGTATGAGTAATGTTTATTTGTTTTACAAGAAGCTTTACAGCTGCAATGTTCCAAGAATGCTTAAATTCAATAAACAACTATTACACTTCACAGAATAATGACATTTTCTCTATAAGAAAACATGACCTATCCATTTTGATTTTTCAGCATCAATAGAAAACTTTCAGGTATATTACCCCAAAGTGAGTTTTCAACATTTCCTACCTCTTTGGATATATAAACAGTACATCCTGATTCTGTTATTACAAGTTGATGAGGCAATACTCAGTGTACATTATTTAGATGCATAATTTTTACTTAGGGTGCAAGTGATGTTACTTGGCATGTCATATCATATTACAACTCATGAAGCAGAATACTTAATGGGGATGATGAATTTTACCACACAGTAGGACTTCCCCCAAATGCATACACAGAACTTTTCTTACCTGTCTTTCCCAGTTTCCCGTTTGAACAAGTCATCAAATTGAAGCATCTTGTGGCGAGAAATCATATATGCTTTTAATTGAGGCAGTATCTGATTCATCAGTTGCAGGTTATTATACACCAAGCCTTTTCCATCTCTCCTCATGTAGCTGCTAGGACCCCAGAAGATAAACACAGCTCCATGGCTCATATTTAAGAGTTCGTTGCGATTTCTTAAAATCCTCTGGATGCTGGAGTGTGCAATGACTCGAAGGCTTGTTTTGTTGCCCACATCTTTTCCATAACCTCGGGTAGGTGCATCATTCATTCGTATTACGCACTCTGTCTGGTCGATTTTGTCACCTTGTTTACTTCCCAGAAGGTGTCCAGAGCTGGTGACCAATGCACAACTCTTGCAATGCATCTTTAAAGGCTGCAAAGACATACATACTTCAAAATCAGCTGTAAATGTCTTTCCCTTTCCATTCACTATGTGATAACTATAGCTAATATCTTACATGTACACGGCCTACTCTAGAGGACTTCACTTAAACCTCTCCCATCAGTCTTCCCAAATAAATAGGATCCACTCATTTTGTAGATGGGGAAATGGAGGTGTAAGTGTCTGGCCCTTAAACAAAGTTCTTTTCTCGAGTCAAGTCCACTGTTTGAATCCTCCTTTCCTCTTCTGCTTAACCCTCATACACCATAATTCCTGTTCCTTGCTGCCTAGGACTGTACTTCTTCCACTTGCCATAGATGAGCCAAAGAAAAAATATTTGTGATTGCTCCTCTACCATTTTTTTCAGGAAACAATCATTCATAAGCCCAGCGCTAGCAAGCACAAGTGTGAATAGCTTTTCATCCCCAAGGTTAGGACATTTTGCTAAATTAGAAAATTTACTCCAATCCTTTCATGCTTTTTCATGTGAGTAGCAAACCTGCTGTGATGCTCTCATTCCTTCATTGTGGCTCAGAGCTGGTCATTACTGTGTGTAAGATGCATATATTTTACCTGATAGGGAGTTTTTACTCTCAACTTTTTCTGACTTGTCAGGCTATGGTTAAAAGTTACAAAATAAAAGGGGACAAGAGGTGTCTGCTCAGTGAGTCCCTGGCCTAAGGGAATGAGGAGAGTGAAATAAGCTTCCATAAAAATGGAAGTATATAAAAATCATATTACTGAAATATGCCACCAATACATATCAATAAGAGGAGTTTGGAAGTGTACTTACAGCTTAGCATGAGAACTAAAACAGGAAAATGTGCTATCAAACAGCATCCCAAATGTGCTAATTCCAACAAGAAAAAGGGTGAACTGGGAAGCAAAGGTAATTTGAGGGTGCACCTCATCAGTGGGGCTCTTTGATAGAAAACCTTGCAAGGCTTAAGAACAGTAACATGTGACTGCAGACCACAGAGATGATGCCCCCCCTCCTGGCCTGGCTGCCAGTCTCTGGTCACTGGACCCTCTGGTGTTTCCCTTATAATGGCTCTCCAGAAAGGGATGAAAAGCCACCAAACTGAGCTGTGGTTTTTCTCATCAGTCTTACGTTTCTCCAAAGAACATCAAGATCTACTGATCTCTGTGGGGCTCTATCAGATTTTTTTCTGTTATTTTCATCATTAACCATAAAGTTACTTTTCCTTGGAGGCCTTTCTAGTGTGCTATTTAATTCTAGAGGCTCCCCATGAGATAAGTATGCTGAGAGCAGTCAGCGTCAGCACTGCTGCATTCGCTTGATCCCATCCCATGCTAAGGACTCAAGAGTGTTTGTTGGTTTTAGAGGACTCCAGCAATCTAAAGCACCCATGACAACACAGGCCCTGAGGCCTCCTGAGATCAAACTCTGTTGCTTCTCCTGTCAACTGGTTGTTCATGCCACTACAACTGGAGCAAGCACGCTGCCAAACGTAAACCTGTAAGTTTATTAGAAAAAAAGACTATAGAGACATATTATTATACTTGGTATTCAACAACTTGTATATAGGAAACAAGTGATTAAAGCAGTGTGCTGTGATGTACAACTTACTTAAAACACTGGAACTGAAAACAGGACATAGCCTCAGTTTTAATACAATCCTCTCAATCTCCTTTTTGAGAAAGCTTTGGTCTCCTATTTGAAGGGGTTATTTGATTTAAATAACTGCTGTTTCTAATTCCGAAATTTCCGAGAGATTACATAGGATGTTGTTTCATGGGTGCAGTCTGAGCTTATTTTCCATGAGAATAGCTAATGAATGATTATGTGCTTTTTCATTAAAGATGAAATAACTAAAAATACAGGCAATTTGCATAATGATATAACCAGTAAGCTTTATATCCCCATCTTCTCCAAACCACAAGGTCTATTTTCTTTCATTTATATGTATTGTAATCCAGAGCTAATGATATGGGTAGAAATGTTCATGCCTTTGTGAGCCAAGGTTTCTAACACAGTATTTACACGTATTTTCCTTCAGGCTTTCATCTGCCACTTTGATGAATTACCTAGCAAAAGGCTTTAAGGTGAACTAGCTGCTCCACCATCATGCTTGGAAAAGCAAGATGAAGTGCTAATGAGGTTAAAGGAAACGTGCTCAGCACCGCTGTTAACTCACATGGGTTTGAATATCCACATAGCAAGACATTTTCACCTAACAATCGCTGCTGGTTTCTAGCCTACTGAGCTACAACTTGACTTGTTTCTTTTAAAGAGGAGCCGTCAGTTGTTAGGAAACCAGAGCAACAATCAGTGGAGCTGTGGAAACGTTTTGGTGGGGGATAAGAAATTTCAGCATTTGCAAGAGGAAAAATACTAACACCTTCCCTCACCCTCACCACCCAGTGCATCTGTCCCAGATCTTGTTTCAAAGCTGTTCCTTTTGGCTAAAAAGCTGTCACACAGAAGCATTCAGGTCTTGCCCAACTAATTCTTGAATGATGCATGAGTGATCTGCTCAGGGCGAGTCATTTCCCTGGCCTCACTCAGATTCATTTAGTCCAAATCTACAAAATTCGCATCCACGTTCTCATCCCAGCTGTTTATAATGCCTTGGCAATATTGAAAGCGAGGAGAAAAAAGCTTTTGGCTGTAATATTATCTCATTGGGAGGCAACGGCTGTACCACAAATGTCACCTACTTAAGCAATAATAATGGAGGCACAAGACATTTCTTTGGGATTGATGACCAGCTGGGAAAAGTTGATGGCCTGAGAATAACCAGGGGCCATTAAACCAGACGAACATTAACTCTGCAGAAAGCTCTCTGTTAAGGTAATTATTACAGCAGTTTATGGAAAAAATGCAAACCCAATGATAGCAAAGCGAAGACATCCAGGTTATATTTTTAGATAGGGAATGCAGGCCATAGGCCATTAGCGTGGCTTCAAAGTGCTCAGAAAAGAGCTATGACAAGAGGTAGGTGGGAGTCATGACCTCTGTGTTCATTGCCTTGAAATGTATCATACGACACAAGAGGTGCTGACACTGAATGGTACCCTTGTCACCAACCATCTTCCCCACATGTGGAATACCCAGTCACATTTCCCTGCATGTCTGATCTACCCAGCACCCAGCACAACACTGAGTGCACAGCACAAACAAGTCACATCAACATCTGGGGCATCTTCTTAGTGAACGACCCACGAAGCAGCCAAACAAATGGTCTGAACTGCACCTCTCTGTCTCCTGTCACCTAAAGTTCAGGTGGGGAGGAGGAGAAGGGAGAGTTTACCACAGCAAAAGCGAACTCTGTGTGCCTGAACCATGGGAGACAGCAAAATGGACCTCTGCTTTTCTTGGATGGGCAGGATGTCTGAGGGAATGGAGAGAGCAGGTGGCCCTGGTGAGGGTCTAACAAACCCCATAACTGCTCTGTGGTGGCCACAGCAAGTGAGCGCAGCCCGGCGCTTCTCAAAGCGCCACAGGCCAAGACAACTAGTTCTAGCTCTCGTAGCCCCACAAAGGATTGCTGATGGTTTGTTTAAAACAAACTGCAATGCAGAACAAATGCCACCATTTTCTCTGTGCTTTCCAATTTGAGGCACTCTCTGCTCTGTATTGACTGCAAAAATCTATGTTGGGCAATAATAGAAAAATTTAGTTTTCAGACACTTTATTCTTTGAAAGAAATCAATGGAAAAATATTATTCCTCATTCAAAATGTTACTCTTAGAGATAATTATTTTCTTTCTGGTGAAATCAAATGATCAATTTTCTTTTTCTTTTTTTTTTCTTTACTGTAGAAGACCTTCGATTTTAAAGTCAAGAGGTAGAAAACAAGACAATTCCCTCCAGTAAAATTAAGGACACTAGAAAACACGTTTTTTTTCTTCCAAGTACTTAATGACCTGTTTTTGAGAGCCCTGTGTTCAGATCATTCGATTCATCAGTAGTGTAAAAAATTATTCTGCAGAAATTAAAACAAAAAACAACAAACATACTTTATCTTGGCAGCAGTGACCTGGCCACATTGCCTGCCACCAGATAAGATCTTCTGAAGTCAAGAATAACTTGCCCTCCCTTCCCCATCCCTTTGTGATCAGGCACATTCCTAACAGAATCAGCTAGAAGTACTAGAGATGATTCCAAGGTGCACTGAGAGAAAGGAAGACAGACTGAGAAAGGTTAAAAAATATCCAAATTTCTTAGGGATGAATGACCTTTAACTGAACATTTGAGACTGCGAAGTGCAAAACATCAATAAGGCTGCTCAAGTAACTCTGAAATATGGCAGCTACTAATAGCACGCTGTAAAGCCGGGACACTTGACAGCTCTGCCTTCCTTTCTCGCTGCATGTTAATACCCCGTATCGGCACAGTTGTCTCTTGCCTGACCTAGGATGGAAGAAAAACTGTTGGTCATCATCACCTGGTCCTCACAGAACCACATCACAGAGAATTTGTTTCAGTATTTTCACGTTCCATCTACCTGACATGCTGCTGAATGAGGCTCTCAAACTAACCTCTGAATGGTAAGAATGACCCAGATGTACTTTGGGATAATTTAGGTAACAAGATTGTGTATAAGAAGCTGGAACATTAGAAGCATTTACTGGAACACTTAAAACATCTGGAGAGTTTAGAAGAAGGACCAGCTTCAGTCTTCGGGTCTCAGGTCTCTGAGAGCTTTGGTGCTGTGCTGCCAATTCCTGATGTAAAGGCACAATTTTGCTTTGACCATGCAGCTTTCAGACATACCTTGGGATAGCAAATTCAGCTTAAAATCCACATTACAGGTGCCGGCCCAGCCTGTGCCCTCAAGGCCCCAAACTTTAACCTTTATGCTAGCAGGTATTGGAAGGTCTTAAAAAGACAAATATCCCCAGAGCAAGTAAATCTGTAATTTTTGTTGAAGTAGACTTCTGGAGCTTTAGCAAATCTGCCATGAAAACAAACTGCATTATCCACTGAACTAAAAGCCCCTGTTGCCCTAAAACACTGTAACCCA